ACTCAAATCTCGTTGCCCTTCTGCTCCGCCTGGATTCATCAGCTTTGAAAGTGTTTCATATTCAGAAAGTAATTTATGGAGTCCTAGGAGGGAACTTGAGAATGAGTATCATCATATATTGATCCTAAAGTGCCTTGTCCAATGTCGGTTCAATTCTTATATGAAAGTTGGGTCTAGTTTGCCTTATATGATTTAAATATTAGTTGCTTATTCCAGCTGCCCTTATGCTCCATGTCAGTTTTGATCATGTCTCGTAAGAAAAATGTACTTTGTGGAGTCCTAGAATGGAACTTTATAATGAGTACTACATCATGTGAGAACTAGCTTGATGATTGCTCATGCCCTACATAAATGTTCATATACTTGTATGTGGATGAAGGGTAGATTGTGTTAGGTGTTATGGGCTGCCCAAACTGTGACGATTATGAATCCTTCCAATCCATTACAGGGGTCAGCAATGCATTAAGTAAAGTAGGGATTGTAATGTCTGCACATATTGGTTGTGGGACCTGAAGAAGGACGTTTCAAGATGGTCTCCAGAGTGGATCAGCTGAACCATCCGAGCATGATTGGGGTAGATACAACTGATGCTGCTGCTGTTGGCAATGGAAGGAGTTTGGTTCTCTTGAAGGCTTGTTGTGGCAGGTAACAGTTTCCTAAATTAAAATGAGAGAGATACCATTGTTTTGTTAAATGTAAAGTTGCCTCTGATTTTTCCTTAGAATAATGATTAGTTGCTCATTCCAGTTGCCCTTCTGCTCCACTTCAATTGCGACCGTCTTCCCTGAACAAAAACTTCTAAGGAAATGTGAGAATGAGTACTACATCATAGATGGAACAAAAATATACCTTGTCCAAGTCGGTTAAATGTAACACCGCCTCTGATTTCCCCCTAGAATAAGATTAGTTGCTCATTCTAGCGGACCTTCTGCTCCACTTCAATTGTGACCGTCTCTGTGAACAGAAATTCTCCATGGAGTCCTAGAAGGGAACTTGAGAATGAGTAACATCATAGATGGAACCAGAATATACCTTTCATGTAGGTTAAATGTAAAGTTGCCTCTTATTTTTCATTGGAATACGATTATTAGTTGCTCATTCAATTGCCCTTATGCTTCACTTCAATTGTGACCTGTCTTTTGCATACAGAAATGGCTCCATGGAGTCCTAGAAGGGAACTTGAGAAATGAGTATATTACATCATAGATGGAATCAGATATACTTTGTCAGTATCGGTTAAATGTTAAGTTGCCTCTAATTATTCTTTGGAATAAAATGATTAGTTGCTCATTCCAGTTGGTCTTCTGCGTCACTTCAACTGTGACCGTCTTTTTGTAAACATAAAGCTCTCTTTGTAATCCTAGAAGGGAACTCTAGATGATAGACCCAGAAGGTATTCCATCCATTCGGCTTAGTGTTTGCCTATTAATAAGATGTCCGATTACTCATTCTTGTTGCATTTTGTTCCACTTATTCCGAAAACTGAAAATTATTCTTAAATGGTGTGCAAAAAGGCAACTTGACACCGAACAGAGATGGACCCAAAAAGTATATCTGTCCATGTTGGTTAATACTGATCTGAAAGTTGGTTCTGGTTTCCCCCGATAACTCAGGTGATAATAACTGCAGTATCGGTCTCTTTATAGAAAATATATACATTGATAGAAGACATAGTCCCATCTCTTTTCACAAGGATGTCCTGTTGAGGGGAATGTGAGAATGATTACTACTTACTGTATTGGTATTTCATACCAAAATAAACCAACTCCGAAAATTTTGTTCAGATCGATATCGTTCTCATTTTCCTTAGGTAATGATTACTGCTTCATGGATTTAGTTCAATTTGGTTTTGTTAATCCTTCATCCATTCCCTTTGTCTTCATTGTATAAACTGAGGACCAGAATAAAAGTTAAAAGGAACCGGTTTTTCTGCATTTGCTCATTTCAATTCGGTGTTGCTTATAAGTTACAACTTAGTTCTATAAGCATGTCCAGTTGGTGAGGGTGGACGATTGAACAAGAAGAATGAAGGAAGCAAGATAATGGTGCTAGATAGTATAGGATCCAGGGTATGCCTAGATGGTCAAGTTGGTATCCAGGTTTTAGTTTCAGGTATGAATTTTCTACTCCTTAATCTCTCCTTAACTCACACCCCTCACTCTGCATTTTGTGTTCCATACTTATATTTGGTTGATCCCTAAAAGTATTTCTATTTTGTTAAAGTCCACCTATCTTTGTTGGGGCGTTCAGTAATTGTCGTGGGTCCCTCACTTTCATTACATCAATGTGTAATGTGGATGGCCTCGTGAAATACTGAAATAGTGATCGAGCTTTGTTCACTTATCAATGTTATTTAAACACCACTTCAGTAGAAAGTGGCATCACATCAAACCATGGTAGCGGTGATTCATAAATTGCATTTGAAGCATCCTTTGTGATTCTGAACCCTTGTTCTTGGTAAGTCTTAGAGGTGTCCATAACTATGTTTGTTAGCATAACTGAAAATTCTTTCTAATCAACGATAGTGACGTACAGTTGTACTAGCAAAGTGCCGTGATTGGTAGGTAGCTCAACCTCCTACTGATTCTACACTCCTGTGTAATCTGTAGATTTCGACTGTCTGAAATCGACGGCTAGAGGGGGTGACCGAAAGAAAATGAGATAATTGTTGCCTTGGTTATTCAGTCTTGGTCCTTTTGACTCATCGTATGCTTGTTGGAAGCAAGGTCCCGATCACTAACTTATGACCGTTTCCGCCTCACTATTGACATGATCACTTACTCATTCTAGTTGCCCTGCTGCTCCCCTTGAAATCCATTATTAACTGAAAGTTTATTGTGGAGTCCTAGAAGCGAATTTTAGAGTGAGTACTATATCATAGATATACCCTGAAAAAACATCGTCCATGTCCGTTCAGTACCTATATGAAAGTTGGGTCCCGGTTTGACTTGCAATAAGATGGTTAGTTACTCAATCTTGTTGCCCTGCTGCTCCACCTGGATTCATCAGCTATGAAAGTGTTTCATATTCAGAAAGTAATCTATGGAGTCCTAGGAGGGAACTTGAGAATGTGTATTATCATAGATAGAACTGAAAAATACCTTGTCTGTTGTCGGTTCAATGCTTATTATAAGATGATTAGTTACAAATCTAGTTGCCCTTCTGCTCCACCTTGTATTCATCAATTGCGAGTGTGTTTCGAAAACAGAAAGTACTTGATGGAGACCTAGAGGGGAACTTGAGAATGAGTATCATTATAGATTGATCCGAAAAGTATATTGTCCAATGTCGGTTCAATGCTTATACGAAAGTTTGGTCTAGTTTTGCCTTATATGATTAAAATATTGGTTACTCATTCCAGCTGCCCTTCTGCTCCATCTCAATTGTGATCATGTCTCGTTAGCAAAATGTACTTTGTGGAGTCCTAGAATATAACTTCATAACGTGTACTGCATCATAGCGAAAAATACCTTGTTTGTGTCGGTAATTGCTTCCTCGTGCAGTTGATGCTGAAAATTCAGCTCCCTGGTGCTTTCCCTTGGTTTGCTATTTCTTGTTGTTGCATACAAGTTGGATTTTCATTTTAGATTACTGACTTTTGAACAAGCATGAACATCAATTATGATTCAGTTAGCCTAGTATTGGAAATAGCTTAGAAGTTTGAGATTTCTTGTGGCAAAAGCTTTTGCCCGCTTTTTAGTATTAGGACCATAAAGTAATCCCTACCTAGTTGGTTAAAACATGGGGAAGAGACCAGACCTGCAATACACTATGACAGTAGTGGTGTGGGGAGCCGCTGATGGTTTACTACTATCCTATAGGATAGCTGACTTGTCCACTGAAATTAATATGTTAACGTGGATCGCTGGCTACTCTGCATGTTGGATTGTCATTGTCTTGGTTTTGCTGTTTGCATTGGAAATCCTGGAAGGGAGCCTGATTCTGGTATGATTTTGTTCTGAAAACTAATTATAAGCTTGATGTGATCTTAGGAGAGAGGATGGTGAAGCAAACAATTTGTTTTCTGCTGCCTCCTATCACTCATATTCTTTCACTGTTGTTGCTGATTCTGCAATTGGAGGTACAAGGAAATGATAGGTTACTAGCTTGGCTGATACACCTCTTCAGTTTTGGGTGGTGATGTTTCATGAGTTACTTGGTACAATTGAAGCAAAGAATCACATCTGGGGTTTGTTATAATCTGAATGCATTTCAGCTTAAGGAGCAACTGAATAATTCCATCTTGAATGAATGCCATTTTAGCGCGGATCGATTTGTCCTTTTTGGCTTCTATCATGTTGCATGCCCAGCGGGCTAATGTTTGTAATATACATGGAGAGCTTTCCTGCTTATATGCATGTCGATAGCATGGGGGAACTTGTGCAAAACTGTGATGGTAGTGCTTTGTCGCCGGTATTATTTTTTCTGCTTCGACACTTCAGAAACTACTGTGAGCTACTTCGGTTTGGCTGCCACGTACCCTCGTGTCATTGTAAGTTGCAAGGTCGCAGCAAAGCTGGCAGCAAATATTATGTCCTCCGTATACAAGAATTGCAATGCCGACTATGTACACATCTTTCGTCGTGTCACTTGTACTATTATTGTGCACGTTCATAATTGATAGATTCATTTGAGTTTGTTTTGACACGACATAAAAAAAAATCCATTGATAATGTTAGTCTATCAGTGTACGTATAGTCTTTTTTACTATCAATTTAGGTCAACTTACCGTTTATTTAGACAACATGAATGAATCAGTCCAGTAGAAGTTGGGAAAATGATATAGCTTTGTAAATAATTTGAGGTTGTAGACTAGTGGTCACAAATTGATTTAAATTAAGTGGCTGAATAATAATTGTTTGTGAGTTGTGACCCATGGTTTGGTTACCAGTTACCACTTCTGTAAATTGACCCAAAAAGAACCGCGGGAGTTGGATGGGCCAACCGCCAACCCGAAGAAGAACAAACGAACGATAAAGCCACACCGTCCAATCCAATCGGCCACACCCATTCGTCCACGGCGGCGGCCGGTGCCAGCTCAGCAGCCTCCACCGTCCGTACTCAATCTTCAAACCACTTCCCGCCATGAATCTCGTTAACCACACCTCCGTTTCTCTTCGCTTCTCCACTGGATTACTCCCTCGCCGGCGCTCTCTCCCTCTCGGCCGACGAGTCTTACTCTCAAGGTCTTGACTCGAATAGTTCCGCTCGTTTTCCATGGATTATTTCGACGTAAGGTTCTTCAAATTGCTGTGTTGATAGATGTCGAGTTTATATTTCCCAGGTCGAGCAGTCTTTCCTTCCCGGCTCACGAGGTCAAGCACCGCCGGGAGCTGGAAGCTGCCATAGGGATTGTGGAGCGCGCTTGTCGCATCTGCGTTGACGTAAAATTTCAATTCCGGTTCAGCTTATCGCTTAGCATCTGCTTGGTTCGTGTAATTCAAAGAGGAATTTTCTCTTCTTCGTTAACATCTCTTCGATTGGATTGAACAGGTGCAGAGTTCCGTGCGCTCTAGTGAAGCAGCGTCCGTGGAGAAGACCGACAGTACTCCAGTCACCATCGCAGACTTCGGCGTTCAAGCTTTTGTCAGTTTTGGTAAGCCTACTCTTCTTGACGACTGAAGGGAATCTGAATCTTTTGATGATTCAGCATTCTTATGTGATTTGATTTAAGTATTAGATGCGGTTCTTCACATTTTTATTTTGTTGACAGAGCTAGCTCAAGCTTTCCCTGCTATTCCCTTAGTTGCTGAAGAGGATTCTGGGTTCTTGAGGGCAAATAACCTTGTGGATTCTGTGGTCGGTGTGGTTGCTGATAAATCAAGTTCAGACAAGCCATTGACTCGAGCTCAAGTCCTGGAGGCAATTGATAGAGGGGGAAAGAATGCCATTGTTTACGAGAATAAGCCAGCCACTTACTGGGTAAAGTCTATGTGCCAGTGACAGAAAGTAGCAGTTTGCTGTCAAAGTTGATCGTCAAAGTCTATGTGCCATGATCGTGAATTTTATTGGTACAACTTGTTGCAGATCCTCGATCCAATTGATGGTACCAAGGGTTTTCGCAAAGGAAGTGGAGCCTTATATGTGGTATGTTCTTAACAGGAATCAGTTACTTGTGCAGTAATTTAAGAATGTGTAAGAACTAGCTTGATAATTGATCATGCCCTGCATAACTGTGCATATACTACTTGTATGCTTATGCTCCTCTGGTCTTGTGATTTCCTAATGAATATACATCTGTGGACAAATATTAGGTGGGTTTGGCACTTGTGGTTGAAGGGGAGATTGTATTAGGTGTTATGGGCTGCCCCAACTGGGACGATTCTGAATCCTTCCAATCCATTACAGGGGTCAGCAATGGACTAAGTAGAGTAGGGATTGTAATGGCTGCTCATATTGGTTGTGGGACCTGGAGAAGGAGGTTTCAAGATGGCCTCCAGAGTGAATCAGCTGAACCATCTGATCACGTTTGGAGTAGATGCTTGGTTGACAAGTGTCTGTTAGCATCCCAAGCACGATTTTGCATTACAGATAGTGCGACTTGGGAATCATTGCCTTTGTCGCCTTTCTTTAGTACAACAACTGATGCTGTTGACAATGGTAGTGGAAGGAGTGTGGTTCTCTTGAAGGCTTGCTGTGGCAGGTACGATTTCCTATTTGAAAATGAGTGAGATACCACTGTTTCATTATCTGCAGTCTTAACAATTTCCACATTGTTTTTGTTTGGATCTCCAGTTTATCTAGGTATATTATGGTGGCTTTAGGAATCGCATCTGTCTTCATTCTACTAGCGAAACCACGGATATCAACCAAGGTAGTATTCTTTTCATTCAAAGAAAATGAAAAAACCTTCCAGTTACTGCTCTAATCCTTTGACTCCTTTGTCACGCCGTAGGTGTGGGATCATGCAGTTGGGTTGATATGCGTTCATGAAGCTGGGGGCAAGGTATTTTTAATTGTCACCACCACTATTTCTGGGTCAAATTACATGCATATTCACCAAAGTTTAGGTCTTTATTTTTCCCTCCTGTTTAAGGCGGCTATCCATTTTTTTATTCTTCGATTTGGTTCTGTTACTCTGCAGGTGACTGATTGGGCAGGGGCTGAACTTAACCTTGCAGAGGATGGTGTGGAGCGAAGGATCCTATATCCTGCAGTTGGAGTTCTTGCAACCAGTGGCAAGATCCACAACCAGATCGTGGAGATGATTTCTGTGAGTTCCTCCGCTGGATGAGCCCTGGTCGTTTTGGTAAGTCCGTAATCCATAACCCAAACTGTAATTGTCGCATTTATAATCAGTGGTTTAGTTCAATCTGGTTTTGTTAATCCTTCATCGATTCCCCCTGTCTTCATCCTGTAAACTGAGTAGTCGAATAGAAGTTAGAAGGAACCTTTTTGTGCAGACACTTATAAGTTACAACTTAGTTCTACAAGCATGTCCAGTTGGTGAGGGGGGAGAGTGAACAAGAAGAATAGAGGAAGCAAGATAATGGTGCTAGATAGAAGCATAGGATCCACGGTTTGCCTAGATGGTCAAGTTGGTACCCACGTTTCAGTTTCAGGTATGACTCTTCTACTCTCTAATCTCTCCTTAACTTACACCCTTCACTCTGCATTGTATGTTCCATACTTTTATTGAGTTGATCCTTAAATTTTATTCTATCATTTTGTTCAAGTCTATCTGCCACTGTTGGTCACTTATCAATTTCATTTAATCATCACTTTGATAGAAAGTGGCATCAAAGCATGGTACCGGTGGTTTATAAATTGCAATTGAACCATCCTTTCTGATTCTGAAGCTTTGTTCTTGGCTAGTCTTAGAGGTGTCCATAACTGTGTTTGTTAGCATAACTGAAGTTCTTTCCAATTAACGGGGTACTGACATACAACTGTACAAGCAAAGTGTCGTGATTGGTACGTAGCTCAACCTCCTACTGATTCTACACTACTGTGTAATCTGTAGATTTTGGCGGTGGTGTAGAATCGGCAGCGACTGGGGTGGTGGTAGTAGGAGGACGAGGACTGATTGTAGTGGTGGTGGTAGGGTTGAAGAAGTTGAAGATGGAGTCCCCCATTTTTGTTCTTCTTTCTCTGTTATATATCAAAATGCAGGTTAGAGAGAATAAAAATAACAGATTTCGCTGTGCACTGTGTGGCAGTGTGGGGGTATTTTGTATTGTAAGGGCTTGGGGTGAGAGGACAGAGTGTACCATTGCTGAAGGAAGCATTGTCTTGCATGATTATGCTCTGGAACTGAGCCATTTGAACTATGGGACTGGGATCTGCTAGATCCCAAAAGCAATGAATAGTCAGAGCTGTTAGAGCATCTCCATCAATGCAATTGCAAAAAAAATTACATTTATGTTTTTTATTGTTAACTCAATTTTTTTGCAATCCACATCACATTCATTTCAATCACCTACATCAAAGCAATTAACTTGCAATTGCAAATGTAATTAAATATTATATTTAAATTATAGAAAATTAAGTAAAAGAGAAAAGAAAACAATATAAAATAAAAAGTCCCCTTTTTTAGGCTTTTTTGACTTGCATATGCAATTGCATTTGTTGCAAGTTTGCATATATGCAATTGGTAGCTACATCAATGCAATTGGTTTTGCAATTGCAAACACCTATGCCATGTCATTTTGCAATTGAGAATGCAATACCAATGTGGATGCTCTTAGTATGATCCTGATTACTCTCCGCCAGTGTCGAATTTGTAGCTTGTTCCATGATAGTGTCGAATTTGTAGCTTGTTCCATGATTGTGCGCACATTCGTTGTTGACGACTTAGGGATCCGTTTGAGTTTGATTTGGGTCGACAATCGAGTAATGGTTAAAATTCGTCGTCAAATGTTATAGCTAATTAGGATCTGTATGATGTTTTAACAATAAATGTTGGGTACACTTACCCGTTTATTAGGACAATATGAGTGAACTATTCCAGCTGTGGTGGAGAAAATGATGTAGTTATGTAAGTAATTTCAAGTTTTGCTTCTGTTCACAAATTGTTGTAAAATTAAAGTTTACTAGTGGCTGAATTGTATGTGACCTATGTTATGGTGATGACTTCTGTAAACTGACACAAAAAACCGCGGGAGTAGGCCAGCCCGAAGAACAAAGGAGCGAAGTTCAAAATAAGTGGTAAAGCTACGCCTACAATGTGTAATCCACCAATCCAATCTCCCACACCAGCGCCACATCCATTTCTCATCTGCAATCACTTCCCGCCATGAATCTCGTTAACCACACATCCGTGTCTCTTTGCTTCTCCGCCGGATTCTTCCCCTGCCGGCGCTCTCTGCCCCTCGGCCGACGAGTCTTCCTCGCAAGGTTTTGACCCATACAGCTCCGCTAGTTTTCCATGGCTTATTTCGACATAAGGTTCTTCAATTTGTTTTACTCACAGGTGTTGAGGGTTTTTTCCCCCCAGGTCGAGCAGTCTTCCCTTCCCGGCTCACGAGGTCAAGCACCGCCGGGAACTAGAAGCTGCCATAGGGATCGTGGAGCGCGCTTGTCGCATCTGCGCCGACGTAAAATCTAAATTCCGGTTCAGCTTTTCGCTTAACATCTGCTTGGTTCGTGTAATCCAAGCAGGAATCCTTCTTCTTCGTTGACATTTCTTCGATCGGATTGAACAGGTGCAGAGTTCCGTGCTCTCTAGTGAAGCATCGTCCGTGGAGAAGAGCGACAGTACTCCAGTCACCATCGCAGACTTCGGTGTTCAAGCTTTCGTCAGTTTTGGTGAGTCTACTCTTCTTGACAACTGAAGGGTATTAGGTGAACTTGTTCTCCACAGAACATCAGACCTTTCGACGATTCAGAATTCTTGTGTAGCATGATTTTAGGACCCTAAAGTATCAGATACGGTTCTTTACATTTTTTCTTCTTTTGTTGACAGAGCTAGGTCAAGCTTTCCCTGCTATTCCCTTGGTTGCTGAAGAGGATTCTGGGTTCTTGAGGGAAAATAACCTCGTGGATTCTGTCGTCGATTTGGTTGCTGATAAATCAAGTGCAGACAAGCCATTGACTCGAGCTCAAGTCCTGGAGGCAATTGACAGAGGGGGAAAGAATGCCATTGTTTACGAGAATAAGCCAGCCACTTACTGGGTAAAGTCTATGCGCCAGTGACAGAAAGTAGCAGTTTGCTGTCAAAATTGGCAACTTTTCCCATGATCATGAATTTGATTCGTACAACTTGTTGCAGGTCCTGGATCCTATTGATGGTACCAAGGCTTTTCTCAAAGGGAGTGGAGCCTTATACGTGGTATGTTCTTAACATGAATCAGTTACTTGTACATTATGTAAGAATGTGGGAGAACTAGCTTGATAATTGTTCATGCCCTTCATTTATGTTCAGAAAAGTGTATGCTTATGTTCCTCTGGTCTTGTGATGTCTTAATGAGTATATATATCTGTCGACAAATATTAGGTGGGTTTGGCACTTGTGGTTGAAGGAGAGATTGTGTTAGGTGTTATGGGCTGCCCAAACTGGAACGATTCTGAATCCTTCCAATCCACTACAGGGGTCAGCAATGCATTAAGTGGAGCTGGGATTGTAATGGCTGCTCATATTGGTTGTGGGACCTGGAGAAGGAGGTTTCAAGATGGCCGCCAGGGTGGATCAGCTGAACCATCTGACTATGATTGGAGTAGATGCTTGGTTGACGGGTGTCTGCTAGCATCCCAAGCACGATTTTGCATGACCGATAGTGCAATTTGGGAATCAATGCCTTTGTCACCTTTCTTCAGTGCAACAACTGATGCTGCTGGCGATGGCAGTGGAAAGAGTGTGGTTCTCTTGAAGGTTTGGGGTGGCAGGTGAATATCTAGGTGGTTTCCTACTTTAAATTGAGTGATATCACTGTTCTGTTATCTGCATTCTTAACAAATTCCACATTGTTCTCCTTGGATCTTCAGTTTAACCAGGTATATGATGGTGGCTTCAGGAATTGCATCTGTCTTCATTATACGAGCGAAACCACGGATACCAATCAAGGTAGTATTCTTTTCATCCGAAGTAAATGAAAACTGAAAGCCTGCCAGTTACTTCTTTAATCCTTTGACTCCTTTGTCACAATGTAGGTTTGGGATCATGCAGTTGGCTTGCTATGCGTTCATGAAGCTGGGGGCAAGGTATTTGTGATGTCACCTCCACTATTTCTGGGTCAAATTACATCCATAGTCACCAAAGTTTAGGTCTTCATTTTGTTTCTCTAGTTTATGGCTGCTATCCATCTTTTTGTGCTTTGATTTGGTTTCTTTTGTTTTGCAGGTGACTGACTGGGCAGGGGCTGAACTAGACCTTGCAGAGGATGGTGTGGAGCGAAGGATCTTATATCCCGCTGTTGGAGTTATTGCGACCAGTGGCAAGATTCACACCCAGATAGTGGAGATGATTTCTGTAAGTTCCTCCACTGGATGAGCCCTGGTCCTTTCGGTAAGTCCATAACTGAAATTGTAATTGTCGCATTTATAATCACTGGTTTAGTTGAATTTTTTGTGTTTATCCTTCATCAATCCCCCCTGTCTTCACTGTGTAAATAGCATAGGATCCAGGGTATGCAACATATTGCCAGCACTTTGAGTTCATGAAAGCTGTTATAAGTTCCTTTTTCCAGGATGGGATATGGAGAAGATAACATTCCACATTACTATCAGTATGGAATAAGAATGCTCACTTTTTATCTGCTCACCTTTTGCTCTATGTGTCCACATCAACAGGCCACTTGATCACTATTCACTAGTGACTTCTTGTGCCTTCAATTTTTGTGAATTTTAGTAGGATTCGTGATACTAACAGCTCAAGATATATAATAGCATAAGTGTGTAATGATAAGATTGCTGAGACATGCGTGGATGCTGTGAAATGATAAGATGGGTAACGAATCTTCGAGCTATTTTTTTATTCATGTTTGTATTCTTTTTCACTATAGTTGGCTAGCTAGGCCAATATTCATCTATATAAAGGGTGCATTTGACAAACAAGGATACAAGTGAGTAGAGTATAGTATCCTTTCCCCACCCCCCAATATGGCACGGCTGGGATCCCAGCTGCAGCTAACCTCAGAAATGGAGAGCCTGAACCAAGTACTAGCCTTGGTGGAGGCCTTCAAGGCCTTTGATTCCAACAACGACGGCCTGATCACTGCAGCCGAGCTTGGAGGCATCCTCGGCTCCCTCGGCTACAACGCCAGCCAACAAGACGTTAGAGCGATGATGCAGCAGGGTGACAAAGACAAGGACGGCCAGCTCAGCGTGGAAGAGTTCTTGGAGATGAACACCAAGGATATGGAAGTTGGTACGTTACTTTGGACCATATATCCTCTTAAAACATTCTAGCTCTTAAAAGTTAAAAACTATTGTCCAAGTTTATTATTAAGTGTCAGATGAATTGGTTCTCGACATTGTGTTAAAATTTTTGTTCGAGAGCTCTTATATTCGAGTAATCTTTATTCGAATCCTGGCCTTCATCTACTTAGACATTTGACATACATCGTGTATGATAACAGGTGGGTGCCTGGGGAACTTGCTGAAGGCGGCGTTGGAAGCTCTGGAGGAAGATGACGACGATGGTGATGATGGGACGACGTTTCTGACTGGAGAGGAGCTTTTCGAGTTTATGGGTGGAGCAGCTGGCGGCGGCCAGCAGCAGATGTCGTTGGAGGACTGCCAGGCGATCGTGGCGGCGATGGATGTGGATGGAGATGGTGCTGTTACCTCTCAGGACTTGAAGCTTATTGCTTCTTCCCTTCTCTAGCCAATGGTTCTCGAGCTCTATGCGCAAGTTTGTTTCTACAGAAGATCAATGATGATGTATGTGACAAAAATAATTGATATATAGCTCGAGTTGAGAGCTTGGGTAGCTTATTTGCTAAAGTGGATTTTATGATACTTAAATAAAAAGTTCTACATGTTATATAGAGTATTTACCATTAATCTGTTTCTTGCTGCGATTAGTGACAACTAACAAGGTGA